AGGGGTGTTCTCTCTGTCAGAGGGTGTTCTCTCTGTGTGTCAGAGGGGTGTTCTCTCTGTCAGAGGGGTGTTCTCTCTGTGTCAGAGGGGTGTTCTCTCTGTGTCAGAGGGGTGTTCTCTCTGTGTCAGAGGGGTGTTCTCTCTGTGTCAGAGGGGTGTTCTCTCTGTGACAGAGGGGTGTTCTCTCTGTGTCAGAGGGGTGTTCTCTCTGTGTCAGAGGGGTGTTCTCTCTGTGTCAGAGGGGTGTTCTCTCTGTGTGTCAGAGGGGTGTTCTCTCTGTGTGACAGAGGGGTGTTCTCTCTGTGTCAGAGGGGTGTTCTCTCTGTGTCAGAGGGGTGTTCTCTCTGTGTCAGAGGGGTGTACACTCAGTCAGACTTTTGTAAATCATCACTCAGTTTTCCACAAACTCACAATAACTTTTTTTATTCCTTAGTTCTTATCTTCGTTTTTTTAAAGATGCCTTTTTTTGACTTGAATGTTTGCAGGGCTACAGACCGATGAGTCCTCTGGAGTCTTCAAAGAACGAGAAATCCCCAAACCACAGTGAGTTTTGAACGTTTCAGTTTCATTTGTCCAGCCCAAAATCACAAGATCACATTATTGATCAGAGTGAAAACATCTGGTGTATTTTACATTACATTTATTTATTTTTATTTATTTTGGATCATTTTCTGCCTGTTTCTTCTTCTTCACTCTGTTCCCTTCAGAGAGTTTGTAAATTGCACATTCCTCTGTTTTTTTCTCACAATGGTAAAGCTAAAAATCCACATTATGACATCACTAGTTGATCTGGGAGGTGTTGAATTGCATTTTGTTGCTGTTGTTTTTTTTACCTGACAAAGATCAAGACTAATAAATGAATCTGATGTAAAGTTATTGACACTTTGCAGTTGTTCTGTGGGGCCCCGCTGTGTCTGAAGTGTGACTTTAGTGTTGAAGATCAGACCAGTCGGTTCTTTCTGGTCTGATTGTGTTAAAATAAAGATGAGTCAGAACATCAGCTGCAAACGATCAGTCACATCTACACTTTGATGAATAAAGCGTTAGTTCATAAATTCAAACATGTAAAGGTTTTTTCTGAGTTCTGTGTTGGGCGTCGTTATGGGGGTTCGCCGTGTTATGGAGCTGTTTCTGTTGCAGTTATGGATCGGGTGAATAATGAGCTGCTGATCGCCATCACGTCCAACAAACCCCAGGTGAAGAAGTTCCACGTTCCTCAGAAGCCTCACGTTCCTCTGGCTCAGGACTCCAGCCCCGAGCAGGTCATCACCTGGCTCCAGTCCAAAGGCTTCTCCAAACCGTGAGTCTTTTATCAGATTTCATGGATTTCACAAAGTTTGTAGAACGACGACCACTGCAGCGTCTCAAGGTGAAGAGATGATCTCAAACACTGGAGCTCAGTTTGACAGTTTGTTCTTAGACTTGGAGCTTTTTCACTTCGCTGCTTCTGTTATTTGTTCCGCTTCAGTAAAATATTTCTTGTGTCTGGTTCTTTTACACCAAACCGACCGAACCTGGTTCCACGAGGTTTATCTGAGGTTCCTGCGCTCGGCGGGTTCCTCTGCACGAGGCTCGCGGACGCCGAGGCCGAGACGCTCCGTCTCACCCGACGACTAAACACAAATATCATTAAATGTGCAGATATCGGCACCGATCCATGAGAATGTTCTGTATTGGGTATCGGCTCCAAAATATCAGTTCTGCTGATATCCATGTTGAGACTAACGATGCAATAAAACCGTTCACTGGTTAAAGTCGCCCAAAGTCTCAGAACGTTTGAACTTTTATTACAAAAGTTACTGGAGAGAAGAAAAAAAAACAGCTCTGACGTATTTTGTCAGACAATAATTTCTGTTTTTTGTACTTGTACTTGTACTTGTACTTGTACCCTTGTACACGGGTACTTTGATATTTTAAGTAGATTTTTTTCATGTGATACTTCGACTTGAGTATTTTTTGCTCCAGTATTTGTACTTTTACTTGAGTAAACAGGTTGCGTGCTTGTTCTGTTCTGTGTGTTTTAGGACGGTGGAGTGTCTGGGCATCCTGACGGGCGCTCAGCTCTTCTCCCTCAACAAAGACGAACTGAAGTCCGTGTGCGGAAACGAAGGAAACCGCGTCTACAGCCAAGTGACGGCCGAGAAGGCCAAACAGGAGGTGAGAGTGTGTGAGCCGCATGTGCACCGGTCACTCCGTCTGTCACTGACACACACACAAAAACACACAAAAACACACAAAAGAAATCTGAATAAAAATAGTTTAATTCTGAATAAAAAATGAATTCCGCTTTAAAAAGATCATGTAAACACTTAATTCCCAGTGAAAGTGAATATTGTGAATTCATCTTAACAGTGAAGTAAATGTTTGTTTTCTTCTGATTTTAAATCTGACTGAATTTCTTCCTGGATCATGTTTGGACGGTGTTTGTGTCTGAGGAGGAACGACAAACCGAGACAGAAAAGTCGGGAGCAGCTGAAGTGTGTGTTTAAATCCCCCCTCA